ATTTCAAAATAATGTCCACTTCACAAAATAGAAAACATTTTCCAGTGTTGCTTTTCATTGAAATACTAACTTTAGGTGGGACCCCGTAGCTTTTATGTTACTTCAAGATTAGAATTTGCAAAAGAACAAAATACCCCATTCCTAAAACTTTATACCATTTGGAAAGTGGACAATCAATTTGGAACAGAGGGAGAAATCCTTATTGAAATTGAACTAGCAATCTCCAAGAAGCACATGACAAAAACCAACCAGGACAAATGGAAAAGAACAATGGAGAAAAGCTAACAGAACATTGCCAAAATAATCAATGCCCAACTCATGATACCATTTATCCTTGAATAATAAATTACAAACAAGCGAGATTTCTACACTAACTCGTAAATCCACGCAATATTAAAGTCTTTTGAAGCATGCATAAGCATCTTTTGAAGTTTATTTTGATAGGTTGATTTCTTTCTACGAAATGGAAAATTTAGTTAGTATAGAACAAGGCAACATGCTATAACATCAATATCAATAAACCTCCATTAGTCATCCTTTACATAGGTACATGCACATAGTAGTATTGTGAAATATTTACCTAAAATAACGGCGTGATTGATCATATTTCTTGATACAATAGTAGTAACAGCCAACAGCAAACCATGACAAAGCCCTATAAAATGAAGTACTAATTAGTGAACAACTTAATACACTAATGAAAGTCATCATAACAGATCTGAACAGCAAGATATATGCTAAAGTAAAACTCTGTCTCACTTTTGAGGGTAATCTTTTACTAGATTGCATGCCATAAGATAAAGCTCATTTGAATGACCAAGCTCCATTGCTGCTGCTAAATGCACCAAGGTACATTTCAGGTGGAAAGGATCCTTTTCAAGCAATCTGTAAAGCTAAACACTTAGATGATATAAAGCATCCTAGATACCATCCAGAATCATTTCAGCTTGTATAAAAAAAAAAGAAGGCTGAAATAAAAAACAAAACAGAATTAGAGAAAACCAAAAGAAGTTCTAACTTACGTAGAAGTTAGCTCAAAGCATTTTTGGTATTCTCCACATTGATGGTAGTATTCAGCTTTGCATGCCAAGAGATCAGTGTTATCTTTTAAACTACACATCAAAGATTGGCTAGAAGGGTTACTTTTAGAACTTTCCTCCTCAAGTTCTTTGAATTTGGCTTCTACAACATTTTCTTTGTCATACTGCATGATATGAGAGAGTAGCAGTTGGGTAGAGAAGAGAGATTTAGCATAAGATAGACCAAAGAAAAAAAAATTAAAAAGATAATTGCAGACAAAACAAGCAAATGAACAAGTAACAAAGGATATATGAAATGTTTATATTTCAACAGAACAAATTCAGGTTGCTCATTGCCTTTTTTATCAAGCAAGAGTAGAAAGAAGAGAGCCATCCATCTTCAGCACCAAATTGCAAAAATGAAAGTAGGCTAGTTTCTGCAATCCAATAACAAAACCGAAAGTTAAACGTATTACTTCATCAAAACCAAAACAACATTTATCATGAACAATGTGAAAGTGACTAATGGATATGAATTTAATGTAAAACTAAGAACCTAAATTTGGGAGAATTAAGAGAAAGTATCAAGCTTCAAGGAGTCATTTCTATTCAATTGTTGATGACCAGAAAAGAACCAAATAATATCATAGTTAAAACATCATACCTTCCTCACAAGTAAGCATATGATTTTCAATAAGACACTCCAAAGCCTGAAAAATAACAAAAAACACAATCATGAAACATATCATAGGGAATGCACAATTACATCATAAAAAATGAATATATCATTATTCTGATTAAAACTATATTTACAGAAGTTATCAATAAAACTTTTATAAAGAAATTAACTTCAGAGAACTAAGAGGAAAAAATTGATAATAAATAAGTCTGATTCCAAAAGGTTTATCACCAATGAAATTTTTAAAATGAGCATTTATACTGTCAGAAATTTGAAATCGGCACTTTCTGCAACCCTGGCTATTATGAAGCCAAAGGGAGAAATTTTGTTTGCAAAAGGCCACATAGCACACCCACAAGACACAACTGGGCATTCAAACAGCTATAACAACTATTATAACATTCCATAAATACCTCATAACATAAAGGATCAGCTTTGATAGCAGCTTTGTACCTGAAATCAGCATGATCAAGCAGATCATCTATTAAGGTTTTTTCAACGAATATAGACATATTCATTTCAACAAAACCCAGAGAACTGAGACAATGATCTTTACATAGATACAGGGGAACTAAAAGAAACAGAGCAGGAGGTTAGGCAGAACAAAATGTAAAATTATACTAAAAACAGCTCTGATCTACTACCATAGCATAAAAACTTGGAACAGAAGGGTACTTAGAAGATCATCATTCCATTTTTAAAACAGTAATTCCAAATATTAAAAAGGACAAAATTGAAAATAAAAGAGAAATGACCCAAGAAGATAGTAGTCCAAATTAAGGACTAAATCTACAATCCAGTAACGAAGGGGATAACAAATTCTAGGAGACATTATCTAGAACAAGTTTCCAGATCCAAGAATTTTTTTTACCCCCTATTCTTGTGCACGTGAGAGTGCATCTCAAAGATGCACAACTAACTCTAAAATTGCAAAAATAGAAAAATTGCCTCAAGTTATTAATAATCCTCAATCTTTTCTTTCTTTATAAAATGAGCACAAAGCACAAATGAATAAGCAAATGATTTTGTGTGTGTGTGTATGTGTGGTGGGGGGGTGGGCAGCATTCTTTTTCTAGAATCATGTACTAACCACTGTCGAGCCTGAGCACGATTTTCCAACGCTTCATATGCCTTGCCTCTTAGAAAGAATATTGCTGAAGAAATCTGTTAAAATGTATTAGTCATGTTCCTACACTACAAAACCTTGCACTTTTATAGCAAGAGAAATATCCCTATCTAGAGAGGTCATCCATCTCATATCATCCCAAAATTAACAAAACTAATAAAATAAGATTTTCATGAGCTTCAGCGTCATCATATGGATAAAGTACTGGCTACTGTAGCAAAACAAATAAACTGGCAGCATAAAATGGAACTCTTCAATGGACAATCAAACAGAAAGAGAACACATTAAAACACTGCACGTTACATCATTCAATTTAATCTTGAGTTAGTTAATTTCAGAAAAAAAAAACCATAAATTGTAGCCAACTACTCCAAGAGTTCTACAAGAATCCCCAGTCACTGTTTGTTCAAAATAGAGCTGTCAGTTCTTTCTAATCACATGCGAGATTCTGCCCAGTTAAACAACTATTAAACTTGATCCATTGAGTCTTTAACTTGATAGGTAGGCCTTTAAATTGATTTTACAGATTAAAACAATTCAATGAAAACCTAAATTAAATTATACCATTGTCCATTGTGGAGTTTTCTGATGAAAATCAAAGCAAAGACAGTGGAAGATCGAAATCTATATGCACCATGCTGTCTCCAGGCATCAAAGGAAACTAAAGAGAGAGTTTTGGAACATTAGAACTAATTCAATCCCCCTCTGGCTCTGCCTTATAAATACTATTAACCAATCAAATTTAAACCAAACTTTGTTATTTCTGAATTGATTCTTTTGCTGAAAAAGTTAAAATACTAAAAAGAGACTAAAACCGGCTCCACAACAACCAAACTGCCCATGTTTTAAAGACTCCTGAACAACCCACATGAAACCCAAAAGAAAGTATCCCTACATTAATATGAAGATGTTCGAAGCACAAATTGACAACCAAACAGAACAGAAATGCCACTACATTTGCAGACGTAAAGTAACACCGAAAAGAAATAAAATAAGATTTTTTACATTGATTTCACGATCTTCCCCATCTTTGTCTAAGTACATGGCACTGTTATCCTTTGCATCATAAACATTCCCATGTTCATCAAACTTCTCATCACCAAGCATCAAAAGACACTGATCCCACTCCTTGAGCTCCTCCTGATCAAATAAGTTCATTCAAAATATATTTTTTATAAAAAAAATTAATCAAGAACTCTAAACCCTCAATCAAACTTTTCTGAAAAAAGAAACTTTTCTAAACCCTCATTCAACCTTTTCTAAAAAAGGAAAAACAAAATCATTATCGAATAGGGGCAGGTGATCATCTAATAAAATTTATCAAACTATTATTTGAAAAAAGAAAAAAAAAACCCTAAATCATCAACCGAAAAAAAAAGAAAAACTTTAATTTCTAAAACGAAGCAGAGAATAATTTTAGAAAACGAAACAAGGCAGAGAAGTGATATTAATATCTTAACAAGGTAGAGAGTGATATTAATGGAAGAAATGTTAGTTTTAGTGTAATTGAAAGAATTTACGAGGCACTTGGCAGCGAGGTAGCGAAAACGGAGATCGCGGAAGACGATTTTTGAGGCGTTGAGGAGATGAAACGCGCGACGGAAGTGGCGACCGAGGAAGAGGGCTTGAGCTTGCATGTAGACGTCGGCGGGGTCATTGGTGATGGCGGCGACTTTGTCGGCGAAGAAAATGGCGGAGGAATATAGATGCTTGCTAACGCAGTCTCGGACTACACCGCGGAGTTTCTCGATTTCTTCTTCTCTCATTGTTTACAACAAAGAAAATGAAGGATTTTTTTTTTCCTTTTCTGGAGAATTTTGCAGGAATTTTTTTGGAGGGGGAGAGTGGAGAAGGAGTGAGAGGACGAAATGAGCGGGAGTTTGGATTCTGTTGAATTTTTTGTGCATTGTTGGCCCAAAAGGCAGGTGGGCTGGACTCAACTCTAGTGTATGACTATAACCTTTACCGTGACCCCAGCCAACAGCCATTTAAATTTGAGTTTGTGCAAACTTTCTGCGCAGGTTATTCCATTCTCGCTTGGTTCCAGTTTCAGATTATCAGCAATTTCTTTCTAAACATGAATGACTTACTGAAAATTCTGAAAGAGAGAGAGAGAGAGAGGGGTGGGTGACAAACTAATTTGTATAAAGACTTGCAGCACAAGGGTACTGATCAGCTATTCACATATATAGATGAAATTTCTCAGTAGATGATGGAGCAGGGTAACTGTACAAAAGTTTGAATTCACCAGATATAAGTCAATGACATTTCTGGATAGACCTTCAGCTAAGCAATACAGCACTATTGAGACAGGAGAATTAACTTCTTTTCATTACATCTAATGTTGACTTCGCTTCTTTGCTTGAATCATGCTATTGCTGGTACCTAATGACTTTCTTTCAACTGATACCTTCCTCTCAGGGTGAAGCATAACTTTCCGATTCCCTTATTTGAATAATTACTGAAATGATTCTTATGTGGGATCAATGGCATTCACCAAACTAGGGTGCAATACTTCAGGTAAACAACTGCTCGAATGATCCATGTCAAGACCCAAAAAGGTTACATATCCTTGTATAGCAGTTGATATTTCGGTATTCGCTCTGGGGGTAGGGGGCAATTAACAATCATCTTGCCTTTCATGGCTCCCCTAAATATTGCCTGCAAGGTTGGAGACTGAAGATTAGCTCCAAGCCACAAAATTAATGCAAATGTTAAGTGCATCCATCAGGAACATAAACTTTATTAACAACAGTTATTTTATAACTATAAAATTAAAGAACTTTTGTAGCAAAAGCAAACCCAGGACAACTACTATGGAGAAAAGATGAGAAAAAAATGCTTAGCACAGAGAACACAGTTCACAAAGAGAAAGCCTGCTCTGGCAACAGGGCAGGGTGGGGCAGATTTTTGCCTGCCCTGTCCCTGACCTGATCATCTACTATCACTATCTGAACCTGCCCCACCCTGACTTGGATTTATTATTGAAGAAACCCGCCCCCGCCCCATCGGGAGAATTAAAACCCAGACTTCAACCCACCCCACCCAACCTCTCTCGGTCATCAACTAGTTTTCATTTTTATATCAATAATTGGCCAAAAAATAAAATAAAGGTATAACAGCAACAAATCAGAACCAAAAAGTCTAATATGAGTTAACAAAAATATCTAAAAAGAAAATATCAGAAGCAAAACCCTAAACAAAAATTAGTTTACATCAAACATTTGTTAACCAAAACATTTTCTAGAAAAAATTCAGTAACAAAAAAATCTGAAGAAAATACATTTGCATCAAGCATCAAGCATCAGTCAATAACAGAGCTTAGAAACTAGAAAAATAAAAAGATTAGAATCCAGATCTGAACAAGAAGGGAGAGAGAGAAGAAGATCTAGGCATAGTAGATCCCTGTCAGGAACCAGCAAATACACTGTAAGTTCTATAGCCCACATAGCCTAACTTCTCAAATTCACAAACAAGATATATTGGACTTCCCAAAATTTTATACAAGATGCCAAGTTCAATGTTGTAAAATCTGTATCCATTCCTATTTCTGAATATTAGAGCCAAGAAAGTGAAAAGTTCCATAAATAAGTGTATAATTCAAACCAAGCAAACAGTGTCACAATTGAGCATGTGGTACAAAACAAACTGACCTCCATCCAATGATAATGAACAACAGTGTCATACTGTATATACCAAAGATATACTAATCATTTGAGAAGAATTCAAAATGATCTCTTCTCCTATATTTTACTCAACAATTCTCTTATTTTCCTCCTAAAATCATCCAGATGAACATAGCTCATTTCTAGAGAACCAGGTACATAGAAAGCTATAGCTTTGTTAAAACTGAATTCCACCCACCACTCTACCTCTGCAAGCAACATAGACAACAATATGATGAATGGATAATCATTCAACAACAGGTAAACAGTCTTACTCGCCACCCTTATACTCAACAAATCTAAACAACAAAGGATAAAATTAAAAACAAAAATGGAAAAAGGCAGTCGTCTCAATGTGTTAAAGGGAGCATTGCCCATATTCTCAAAAGCTACAGTTTATTGATCCTCCCAATGATGCAACTTTATTGACATAAATACACTGTAGTATTAGAATCAAATGAGGACCAAACCGGACATTCCAATTTCCAAGAAATGATCGCAAAACCAGGGCAGCAGTTCCAATGTGTCAAAGGTAACAATTTTCGGCTATTGGACCTCGTTGGGTGATAAAAGGACTAGGAAGTATCAACTCAGACTAGTAAATTAGTAAAATGAACAAATGGAAACAATAACGTTAGATGAATAAACTACATCACTCATACAGTCAAAGTAATGGGATCATTAAGTTCATAAATTATTTAGGCACTAAATACAGCATACCTCTACAACATCTATGAAGTCCTGCTTTTCATGAAATGCACCCACCCATTTAGTATGGTCCGCAGTCCTGAATCACAAACAAGAAAAACAAAACAATAGCAACACATTGCAGAAGAAACCTAACATCTTAAATGAAGTCTCTAAATTCTTATTTATTGCAGAATGAAATTTTCTATTTGAAAACAAGAGACATAATTATATAATTTACAAAATAGGAATCCCCAACATAATTGAAATTCCCAAAACATGTGACACAGCTAGAACAGTCAATATAATCAGAGGCTTAAAAAATTAAATATTAAATAGCGAAACAGCAAATAAATTCAATTCATTTAACCAAATTAAATTTAAAAGAAAAAAGAGAGAAATTCAAACGATAAAGAGCTAAAAATAAATACCCAGAATCCATCTTCATATGATGAGCATTGAAGAAGAAAACAGTGGAAGGAATCAAAGTGATATCGAAGTACTTGACGTAAACCTGAACATCCTCGGAATCTATATCGACTAAAGCCACCGTTGCGAATTTGGAAACCTCACGCGCGGTCTTGGCAAGGATGTTGTCGAGTTGGAGACAGACGGCGTCGGCGGCACGGCCGAAGCGAAGGACAAGGACCTTGTCGATGGTGTCTCGGATGATTGTGTCGACTTCTGTCTTCCTCGTCAGTGTCGGTAATAAGTAACTCATTGTCGCTCTCTTCCTCGATCTCAGACGAACGAGAGTATTTTTTAATTAATTCTTTATTATTTTTATATTTTTTACGAGGATGAAAATAGAGGCTTGAATGAACCGAGCGTCGAAAACTTTGGGCCACGACATTTGAATTTGGTCTTTGTAAGCCAACCCAAGCCCGTTACTAGGCCCAAATTTATATTATTATATATAAAGTAATTTTTATAGTAGTAATATTCAATAAATGGAATTGTCTAATTTTGAAATGCTTAATTATTGAATCTGAGTATTTGGTTTAGTGATTTTTGTATGAATTTTTTTAAATTGAAAAATAAAAAGAAAAAATATTTGACTACTTATAAAATAACATGTTTAGAATGTTGAAAATAAATAATTTGTAGACTTATTTGCAATAGTTAAGTGTGAAAAATTTTAATATTCTCTATTTCTATTTCAATATGTTTTCATTTAACTTTTATTAAATTTAAATAAATATAAATGCATTTTTATAAACTAATAATTAGAAAACTAGTTAAATCAAGTCGTGCTTCAAAATCTTAACTCAATTGTTCTTATCTATTAAAATGATTTCCTAATATTGCTTCTCCCTTTACTATTTTGATTTTTATATTTTTGGATGACCCCCAAATGATGTTCTTCTCCATTTTTTTTAATTTTTGCAATCTTAATCAATCTTTTTCTGATAATAAAATCCCAAATTCAAATAAAAAACAAAAAATAAATAAATTTTAAAACAAAAAATATTTGAAGTTAAATAAGATGCCTAATTTACTACGAAGTCATCGTGAACAACAAAATCAATATATCTATTGGCCATAAACAAGCATCTAAAACAACTAAACAAAAGCACCATAATCTCAAAAAGGAAGCAAAATGTCACAAAGACCAAGTTTGGGAAGCAACCCCATCCCAATGATGAAGAACATGCAAACGTTGGCAGAGGGATGCAGTTCCATAGCTTCACTGAACATTGAAATGAACCAGCAAATAGTTGGAATTTCACCAAAAGTTCAAAATGATGGTGTCCCTCTAGCATGCAACTTTACTGATCTATCTATGGCACTTTGCAGGCTAACAAAAAGTTCCAATGATAATGTCTATTATATTTGGAACACTTGTCCCAACATCCCCAGAAATGGGTCAGATTATTATAGTCAAAAAGACAATAAGAGATGTTTGTAAGCTAGCTGACCATGCATGTAGTCCCATTCATCTCAGTTTTCTCATCAGCAAGTAACTTTCAAGATATTCTAATCTGATTCAAAATTCAAAATGGCTGATTCTGAACTTGTTGGCCAAGAAAGAATGAAAAACGGTCATCTCAAAACAACCCTTTTATATCCCAACCTTCATTATATTTTCCTTTTTTGCTAAGATGAAAAGACAGCCACTTTACTGGAAAATAATTGCTAGACAAGATCATAGTCAAGTAGCAGGTTATAACAATGAATTCTATCCTAAGAAGCAGAGACTGTAAAAGGAATCTTAATCATAAAATACAGTAATATATTTGGTGATCAGATGCCAATTAGGTGTATCATGATTATCCCATGCATGATGTTAAAACCTCTAATGGAATTGTAGTTAGATCCAAAGTCTGTTAATCTTTTAATGTATATATCATTAAAATGTGTGAGCTGGGGGGCTCCCAAGGAACATGATGGTCCTCCAATCTATAAAACAAGATTTCATTGACCCAACCCTTTTGTTATTTAGGGTACAACCTCAAAATCTTTTAGCAAGCCACCTTCTCATCATGATCACACCCCCAACTTCATCAAATCATACCATTCACTTTCACTGCTACAAATATTCACCTTAGAAACTTCTTCTACGTTTATATATATATATATATCCACCTATCTCTCTCTTTCTCTTTCTCTTCCTCTCAGCTGCATATCTTCATGGCAATCTCTGAGTCTTCTTCCTCACCACCTTGCTCACCAGGGAGTTCATCTTTAACCAGCCCTAGTATCCAGATGGTTTCGAAAACGGTGTCCGAAAGGCTTCTTGGCAAATTCTTTGATGCATCTCAATATGATTTTGATTATGAGCAGAGCGGTCTGTGGTCTCCTCCAGTAAGGAGAAGTGTGTTCTTGGCCTCCCCTGGTAATATTTGCTCTGAAGATGAATTCTTCTCCAAACTCAAAAAAGCAAAGAAGGCTTGCAGGTGGCGCTTGCGCATTGCCTGCTTCAATGTATGCACATTGCTTTTCCCTTAATTTGGCAACTCAATATACATCTAATACACATTTTTCTTTTTAATTACATATATCTTGTTATTTATGAATCTTTCCTAGCTATTTAATTCCTGCATTACAATCAACTCAAGCAGATGTTTTTTAGAGGGCTACATGTTTACCTTATCTTCTTCTTCAACATTTTTTGAAAGGCTAAAGGATTTTCCTAATATTCTGTACCTTAATTTTGTGCCTATTATAGCCACGTGAATATTAGATTTATACCTAAATATCTGCAATTTGATTTAGACCCACTACTTAATTTGTTTCTTTAGTTCATATATATCAGATTCAGCTTTTTCTCAGTAACAATATCAACCAAAGTTTTATCTAGTTAATTACTTATTTATTTATTTCCATAGATCAGCATGATCATAATCATATCTATAGCATCATTTAGAATAAATTTATGATTTCATTGTATGTATAAACTCTAAACCTCAACCCTTCATGAACTGATACTGGGATGCTTTTTGCTTGTTAAATTTGCAGGCCATTTGGTGCTCTTGAAGTAAATCTTGTTTTGCCACTTGTCTTTAACATTTCCCCTTCAAGAAAGGCATGTTTTGTCTCAAATTAGAATACCCATACTCTAAAGATCTAAGACATCCCATATTTCCAACATCTCTCAGTCAAAAAAGGTCCCAAGTCAAAAAGGGCATTAACTCATCAGGGCTCAGCATGTGGCTTTGCATGTAAAACTACGTTCTAGTTATCTTTTCTGTATCACCCCTTTCTAATAGAATACTCTGATATAACACTTTATTATTATGATTTATTATATATTTCAGTTCCACATGTTTTTTTTTTCTTTTTCTTTTATCTTTAAAGCTTGAATATTTTGGGATTCTAAAAGAACGATAACCATGGAGAAAATTCGAAATGGTACAATGACCCATCAGCAGACAAATGTTCAGTAATATGCAGGAAGCAAGCTAAAGGAATTTCCAGGAGACAGGATCGTTGTTTCCCTGATAAAGTCCCCCCAAGGATTTGCTTTTGAATCTAACAACAATTGTACTGCAACAAAGGGTTCATTTAAGATCCAAAGCTGTAACATTCTTTTCTTTCCTCTTGGGTTTTACTCTTTTGTCTATAAATAAACTTGAATTAGATTCCCTCCCACCCCTACTTTTCGGTTAGCTTGTGGACTTTGAGAGATGCTTCCTGCAAGCAAATTAATTGCTCTCTTAATCCTTGTCACTTTTGATTAATTTTGGGTGTGAATTAGACCTTGCTTTGGTGGGCTTTGTTTCTTTTCCAAGTGTAACTTCTTCTTTTTTGTTTTTTTGCTATTTTCTTGTTCATGGCAGCAAGTTTTTGGGTGGGTCAAGCTAAATGGGCCTAAAGCACCTCCATATGTACCATTCTGATTAAATTCTGGCATACTGCTCATGGCCTATGGGGTCTTAAACTTCTATTCACCCTAGTTTTTGGCATAGTGACTTTATTGAGCAATCCTACTAGTTCTTTATGTTTGGTTTTAATTTGATTATTGAGGTCTATGACTTGTAACAAAATTTAACACATATTCTTTAAGAATGTGATGAACTATAATAATTGCATGTATATTTATTACCATTTACATTTTCTTACTATATATATATATATATATTATACATTAGTTCTCTATTAGCAATCTTTTCATATTATAAAAGTAATAACAAGAAATAATGTACTTAACATTAATATAAAATTGAAAATTAGATTAAAAATATTTTTTATCCGATTGTAGTTTTCATAAGAAACTATGTTGTCTAAGTTGTTTCATAAGTTCGGTGAAAAAAAAAATTTAGATAAAGTTTGGCATACTTGAATAAAAATTTTTATACTATTTAAAAAGTTCTTCAATAGTAGATTTTTTTTGTAAAAAATGCTATGATATGCTGAAATTATATATAAAAAAGTATTTTACTAAAGTGTTTTGCAAATACATTTGCGAAAAATTTTTGTTTTCAATAGATAAATTAAATAAAAGGTGCAAATTCATGGAACCCTACCTTAAGTATAGGCAAACCATAATTTTTAATGTGAAAGAAATACATAAAATTACATTTCAAAAGAAATAAAAAAAATCAAATCGAATGATAAAGTACTGAATGTATATAACATGCTTGTGATAAAGCTCATTGAAGATCACTAACACAAGTTTATTTAATCTAAACTATAATGATTTTCACCTACAAAGGGTATTATATTCATTTTATATCTTTTAGTAGGTGTTTTTTGATATTTTGTTATCTATTAAATGAAAAACGTGTGTTTATCTCGTTCTTGGATTATTTTTTTATACTTTTTAACAACATATCACATTATCTGTATTTCACAATTACTCCTCCTACATCATTTGGATTTTTTTTTTCAATCTAAACTATAATGATTCAGAGGGTATTATAATCATTTTATATCATTTAACAGGTTCTTTTTGGTATTTTGCTAGCTATTAAATGAAAAACATGTGTTTGTTTGCTTTTTGATAGTTTGGTATTTTTTCTATTATGCTTTTTAACAACATATCACTGTTATCTAGTTCTCTTAGTCACTCCTCACACATGATTGGAATTTTTTTTTGATTTTAAAGAAATGATGTTTTTTTTCTTACTCAATTCCCAAGACTTCCCTTTAAAAACAACCACCACTTCCTTTAATCAAAATCTCATGTTTTTGTGTCCCTCCTTCCCCTTCTTTCACTTTTTTTAATTGCCCTCTTTTTAGGGGTTTTTTTATTATTGCTTTCTCTTGTTTTGAAACCACAAAACAAATAGTAAAAGAAAAGTAAAAACAAAATTACTCTAAACAAACTTTAAAAATATATATAAAAAAATCTTTTAGTTAACTTCAATACCGTGAAATTCATACAAATCGAGCTAATAGAGTTGAATTTCTTGCTTTGGAAATGGGTTACTTTTGTTAATTAACTTTTATTATAAACAAACATTGCATACAGCTTTAAGTTTAATTTATAATTAATTAGATCTTTTACGATTTTAAACTTATATACGAAACTTTTAAAATCAACCATTATAAAATTTTATAAACTTGTTGCATAGCTCAAGTACTCTTTTTATCTAATCTAACCTAAATTCCTATGCTACATAGTCTAGTCTAATCAAAATTCTTATGCTAAAGAAAATAAACAATAAAAGAGGAAATTTAAAAAAAAATGATAAATTCAAAAAAAAATTTTAAAAAAACCTCTAGTTTTGTGTGAAAGTGTACAAAATTGTCGTAACCTAATTTCAATACATTGGAGGCAAAGCAAATTTTTTGCAAAACAATACATAATCCTGATAAGCCTTTTAAGCATATTCTTCTAATTGGAAAAAATAAGCATATTCTTCTAATTGAGAAAAATTTGGAGACAAAAGAAAATAAAATAAAGCAAGTAAGAAACACTATTAAGGATAATTTTTGCCCATTCAGAGTATGAAACCATGTGCAAAAAGACTATAGTAGTTATCTTTCAAGATTCAACAGACATTTCCTTATAGTTTGCATAAACTAGTAAGGGAAGACAGTAACAACAGAAAAAAAAAAGAACTAGGTGTGTGAACTATAAGGGATGACAGTAACAACAGAAAAAAAAGGGATAGCAATAACAACAGAAAAAAAGAACTCAGCTAGGAAAGAAAGTAATCTAATCAAAATTCTTATGCTAAAGAAAATAAACAATAAGAAAAGAATTTAAATAATAATAATGATAAATTCATAAAATTTAAAAAAAAACCCTAGTTTGGCGTGAAAGTGTACAAGATTGTGGTGACCTAATTTCAATACATTGGAGGCAAAATTTTTTTTTTTCAAAACAATACATAATCCTGGTAAGCCTTTTAAGCATATTCTTCTAATTGAGAAAAATTAGGAGACAAAAGAAAATAAAATAAAGGATAGTTTTTGCCTTTTCGGAGTATAAAACTAGGTGCAAAAGGACTATAGTGGTTATCCTCCAAGATTCAATAGATCTTTCCTTATAGTTTGCACAAACTAGTAAGGGGTGACAGTAACAAACATTTCCTTATAGTTTGCACAAACTAGTAAAGGATGACAATAACAACAGAAAAAAAAAGAACTCAGCTAGGAAAGAAAGGTGTGTGAATTATAAAGGATGGCAGTAAAAAAAGAACTCAGCTAAGAAAGAAAAGGTGTGTGAACTATAAGGGATGGCAGTAACAATAGAAAAAAAGAACTCAAGTAGAAAGAAGTAGAAAATAAGTAGAAAGGTTGTGTTGTGAGTGAAAGAAGCAAAAGGTGTGTGAACTATAAGGGATGGCAGTAACAATAGAAAAAAAGAACTCAGGTAGAAAGAAGTAGAAAATAAGTAGAGAGGTTGTGTTGTGAGTGAAGGAAGACAAACTAGTAAAGGATGACAATAACAACAGAAAAAAAAAGAACTCAGCTAGGAAAGAAAGGTGTGTGAACTATAAGGGATGGCAGTAACAATAGAAAAAAAGAACTCAGGTAGAAAGAAATGTGTGTGAACTATAAGGGATGGCAATAACAATAGAAAAAAAAAACTCAAGTAGAAAGAAGCAGAAAATAAGTAGAGAGGGATGGCAGTAACAATAGAAAAAAAGAACTCAAGTAGAAAGAAAGGTGTGTGAACTATAAGGGATGGTAGTAACAATAGAAAAAAAGAACTCAGGTAGAAAGTAGTAAAAAATAAGTAGAGAGGTTGTATTGTGAGTGAAGGAAACAGAAAATAAGTAGAGAGGCTATGTTTGTGAGCGTTGCATCAAATCAAGGAGTTGAAAATTCAAGCCTAGCCTGATCTCGTGTGTGCAAGAGCCCACTCATATTTTTTCCTTGCAACAAGCTTATAGTGTGTTTGCTTATTTAAAGCACTCATGCCTTTATGTACTTTAGCAATGTGGGATGTTTGAATCTTATGAAAGATACTATTTAATCAAAGAAACAGTCAAATCCTACAGGATTAATATTTATGTTTTTTATGTAACTTTCAAATAAATTATAAACACTCATAGGCTTATAAGAGTTACATACCTTACTTTAGATATCGTAATCAAGAACAAATTAAATCCAAACTATTTGCTTCTTCACCTTTAAGATTTATCAAATCTTCAACCACCTAAGTTTTTAGCCTCTAACAGTAATTCACACAATGACTAAATAAGACCTTCTCCAAGGTAAGATTCTACTTGTGCTAGCAAGTTTTATTTCTAAAACAAAAGGACTAAAATTCTTGCCGAATCTTATTTTTGTCAGATAAAAAAAATTATTTTTTTTCTTATTTTATGAAATAGCTGAAAAGTGGTTTGAGGCTTTTAGTTTTTAGTTTGCTAATATAACATATTTATATAGCCAAACTAATTTGCAACCCTAAATACAATAATTATATTTTAATTTAATTAAGTCTCTATGAACTTAATTAATT